ATTTTTCTATGGCTACTTGAGTCAGTCCCCTTTGCCCTAATATGCGTAGAATTTTTATCATGTAATGTTAACGAAATACGGAAGCATATATAAAACATGTCCCAAAACACAAAATTTGTTAATATTCCTACGAACTTTCACATGTAAAGTTTGGAAACTAGAAGGTCACCGGTTCTCTATTTATTATAACGCCCGGGGGCTACTATTCTACAATACGTTACTGTTGTTCATCAACTTGTTTGGGCTAGGGATGGACAAATATCGATTCTCAAATTTTATAATTTATATAGTAATATGGATATAATTTTGGAATATTGGTTTTAGCTGGAACGTTAATATTTGGATAATTTCTAACGCACTTACATATACCTAGTATTTGGCCTAAAATGAGCGAGGTTTTAATGACTATTCATATTTGTACCCAATAGATTTAAGGGGGCGTCCATTAATCACGTGATCGATTTTTTAAAGATTTTTGGACCCTTCCTCCCCCTTGGTGATACGTGCTTATATTCAAAATTATCCTACCCTACCAAACATCAAGTGTATTTTTAGTTACAAGAAAAAAATGTATTTTTTTTTTATTATTTTTGATAATATTTGAATTTAAAAAAAAATCAGGGTAAAAAAATACACGTAGTATCTTACTATACATCTCCCTTTCCCACGTGATATTTTGTAATTTTTTGTCAAACCCTTCCTCTCTCTAAAAACTTTACGAGATTATTGAACGACCCTAAAGCAGATATGGAATACGAGAATTTTAATTTTATAATATATCAATTTCACAAAAGCTGGAGACAAAATAATAATTCCATATGTCTTATATTATATAATAGGTTTGTCATTAATATTGGTTTAAGGAACATGAACCAGAAAATTCTGTTTATCATATCTACGTTCTATTTTCGAATTATGTAGGTGGACCAACTAAAATTTCTATTTAGGAGTTACCAAAAAAAATTGAGTATCAGTTTTACATGATTCAAACATATCTCCCATCCCTAGTCTCGTTCGAGTTACTCAAAAAGAGACAACGATTTTAATGTTTAAATTTGAATTTCTGGTTTTACCAAAACTACATCATTGTACTAATAAGAGTCTAATCATGTCATTTTCTCTACAGCTGGCATCTGAAAAGACATGAAATTTTAGAGCAATTTAGCGAATATCAAATGATTTATGAATTTAATACACCAAGTAAGTTTTGTTAGTACGAAATATAAAATTGTTTTTTTTATAACAATGATCGAATTGCTTATATCAAATATTTTGGGTCGATAAGATAATCTCGTCTTTTTAATGAAACACTTGAAATTTATTGAACATGATGCTATGTTTATGCATTACCTCATTTTATCTACTTTAAATATTATTCCAAGTACTTTTTCTGATATTATACTTACAAATAGTGTATAGATCACTTCATAGAAATATATACACTATACGGTATCAGTATAAAATTGTTATAGTAATTCTTTGAAATTATGACGGATTTTTCATTTTTTAATAATACTAAAAAATTTATTATTATCGCTGTTGATAATAAGCATTAAACAGTATTAAACAGAAAAGCTGTATTTAAAACAATTTCACTCATATCTTTACATCGATTTTTATGATGTATATATTTTTAGATATAGTATATAAATATGTTGAGATATGAAATTATTTCTTTAGAATTTTAATTGTAGTATCATCATAATCGAGATAATTTTGTAGCCTTACTCTAAAAAATGCGCTTTCGAGTATTTTTAACATATTTAAAATATTTATCAGATTAAGAAGCAATTCACAATCATGATATATACATACATACACACACATATAATATATATGTATATATATATATATATATATATTTAGATTTAAAAGTCGCTTTGGCAGATTTGATTTTCGGATACTAGGGATAAAAATAAGATACTTTGCTAAAGAAACGATACCTCCAAAATGAATTCTGATGTCCTGTGCATTGACCCAAAGATAGGGGTTGAATTTTGAAAAATTCTGTTTTAGCCCATTTTGAGTGCTCCAATCGCGTCCAAATTTATGACAAACTGACTTTGGAAGGCCGATCCACCTATGCCTATGGTTTACCCCCTGGAACCTCCCCTTAGAGGTCTTCCATACAAAAATTGCACAAAATCATCGTTTTTGGCGACAATATTAGAGAGCCGTGCAAAATTTTCAAGACTTGAAACCAAAAAAGACTTCAAACAATAATTTAAAAGTTTTACATAGTTTTAATTACATATGTTATGATTAAAAAAAATTTATAATAAAAATAAATCGCTGATTTTTATCACGTTGAAGTACTCGAAATAATGCAACATTTGTATTGGGGACCTCTAAAGGGAGGTCCCAGGGCGTGAACCATGGGCATGGGTAGATCGTCCTTCCAAAGTTACTGGGGGGTCGGTCATACATTTGAACATTATTGGGGCGCTCTAAATGAGCCAAAACAGAATTTTTTAAAATTTAACCCAATCTTTGCGTGAATGCACAGAACATCAGAATTCATCAGAGATATGGTTTCTTCGGCCAAGTATCTAATTTTGATCCCTAGTATACGAAAATCATATGTGCCTATGCGACTTTTTTTACCCATACCAATCGACCCGCCCTAATAATGATGCAATAAGTAAGTCAATAATTTTCGAAATTTAATTTTTTTATCAAAAAATATAGGATTGCTCAAATGATAAATTTTCGAGCATTATTCAATCTATTTGTACACTTCTTAGATTGCGCACATTTTAAGAATATTGCATATTGAATTTGTGTCAATATGTTCTTTTTTGTCTGCGTTCATGAAAATAAGTCTAGTGAGAAGTCATTTGCGAATTCGGGATACATAAATTATAAATATGATTTATTAATAGCAAGTTTTACCACTGAGTTTATTAATATAAAGGACTAAATAATAACTATATGTAGATAGGTATGAAAATTTACTTATGTTTTTGCTCCATTCGGTTAATGACACTTGACCCGCAACTTTTATTGTGCATTAAGCACTCGAAATCGATCCCAGCTCCAACCGCCGGTCTGACACTTTGGTTAACAATAAGGTCATTGCTTTGCAGTATTCGAATTGTTTCTTATACAATAAAACTTATTCTTATCCGTAACATATTACGAAGTTTTCAATTTTCATGCCACATTTATCGTTCTTATTTAATTATCATTATATGCATTATCGCTAAATAAAAACAGTTCTTCTTTTCATAACTTCTAAAGGAATATCTGGACTTGAGAATACTAATGATGCAAATAGAAAACATTTAGAATCGGCATGCACATAATTACATCAATGGTGCTAATGATCATAACAGGTCAAACGTTTTGTGCTAAATTTATTTATTCCTCATTGAAATACATCCATTGTCGCGGGTTTATTTAAAAAAAATTATATATAATAGATAGTATTTAGTATATTTATTGTGAATTATAATACAAATTAAACGAGAATCATTTCATTATCTATTGTTACGCACGCGGTTCGAAGTTGATGCCAGCAGTAATCTGTAATGTTTACTTACTAATTATATCTTCCCGCACAACAAATATTTTACATTCAAAAAATATATTACTATCATTGTGTTTTTTCATATTTGCTAGCTTTTGAAAACAGATATTTTTAATTTTTATATTTTTTTAAAGCTTTATATAAAGTATTTCTATGAACGATATATATTATATATAAATATAACATTTAAAATATTTATTTTATTTTTATTCGTATATGTAATACACTTACAATATTATAACATAAATATTTGATATCAGCAAAACTGCTGTGTTTTCCGCAGAAGTGCCGCTGCTATACAGAACAGCGTGTCCGTTAGTATATGCTGGACGGACCAGACACAACGATTTATTTTAAGATATCAGTATCAATAAAAATGTATTGAAAAATTGAAAATTACGCTTCTAATGGTCTAGAAAATACAATGAAGGACGAGAATTCTCAAAAGATCAACTCATAGAGATAAATCTTGAAGTAAAGGCAAACACATGTCGTCCATGGATGACATCTAGCTAAAGTTAGCACACACAGCACGCCATGTGGATGTCGTCCATAGAGGATATTCGTAGCGAAAGGGTTAATCCATAATTTCTCAATGAGTTGTTGAAATTTTATAAACAGTCGAACACTAAATAGAAAAAAAACAAAATTAATTGACTTGCGGTGTGAGAACATTTAAAGACCAATAATATTGTACGAAAATTACATACATAACTTATTTGAAACTGCTAACAGACATATCTAAAATATTCAGGTCAATTTTTGTGTACCTGATAAATAGAACAATTTATATTTTATTAAAGTAATAAATAATAATCAAAATAACATATATTCTATGGGTCATGTTTTTTGGACATTTTTTTCTCAACGATTGAGTTGTTATTCCAACATGTCATTATTATATACAATGTCTATATTAGGACTAACAATTGTAAATCAACAAATTGGCTAAATGTCCTTAACTGGACAGTTTTAAATATAGTAGTGATAAAAAAAAATTCTCATCCTTCTGACTATATTCAGTTGGTAGATTTTAGCACGAATCTTGAAGACATAATGACGAATTACTAAACATAGTTAAAAAGAATTCAACACTTTTAAGAAATAATTTTATGAATTTTATAAACTCTGCCACAACAAATATTAGATTCTAATATAATCCACATGTGCTCAATGCTTGAGATAAATGTATCATGAATAATTTACTAAGTTTACACTTCTAATGTCAGACAACTTCTAAGGTCGAACATATGATAAATATGTCATTAGCGAATTGTATTAAGTAATTACATACTTTTTCTGTTATTGCCGAATATATATGTAGAGCGTTTGTACGCTATTGCTCCTCTTATCGCACCCGGTAAATGCTGATAAGCGCTTACACCTTAGTCGCACTCGATTATTCCTTCAGTCGAGAACGATCCACTACAGTTTGAACATGTGTTAATGGTTATGTGAATAAAAAAAATTTTGGTAATTTAGTGGAATGTGAAAAAATCTGAATTGGCAATTATGCATAGACAATACAGCAGGGTCGTTACCAGTAGTCAAGCCAGTGGTAATTGTTAATTATTACTAATTAATAATAAGGAATAGTATACAGAGACTTGGAGATTTTTTGGACTTATTTGATTTGAATGTCCAAATAATTAGCTTTTCTAATCAAGCACAATTAAATTTTTAGATAATTTAATGTGCGTCAAAGTGATTACTGACAATGAGTTATCTCTACATAGTTATGTAACGTTATCACATTCGAAACTGCAAGACCATAAAAAATTATAGGAAATGTTTATACATAAATATATATTTATGATTCTGCGGTTAATTGATTATTTATTCGATTGTTTGTGATGGTTATTTATGTTCTAAAATATTTTCCATGAGAGATAAAAACGAAAAAAGAAAACAAAATAATTAACAACTTGACGTTAATTATAGTGCTCTTATTGCAATATTCTTATTAAAGATGTAATTGGCTGCCGTCTTTTCAGTCCCCACATTTTAAACAAAAAAATATCACTTATTTCGAAAAACACACCTAAATCATTTTTACACTTATATTGCGAATCAAAAATTCTTACCGTCAACTATAAATTAAAGTAAATACAATTTTATAAGCAAAATGGAAATGATTTCATTTAAAATTTAACTTAAAAAATTGGATATAAATATTACTTCATTCATATCTCCAATCGAAGGCTCTTTGCCCTCTCGATTTTTATTCCCAAATTGCTAATACTTAAATATTTTGCACTGTCCGTAAATTTGCAAAAACAAGTAAAATGTGAATATTTTTACTTGTCAAATAAAAGAAGTTAAATATTTTCATTTTAAATCATTTAATTTAAAATAACTTTACATTTTTTTTAAATTCAACTTACAATTATAAACATACAGATATTTTTTGTTAGTTAACTTTTACTTAGTTAGTAATTTGTAAACGTTGTCGAGTAATTTTTGTTTCAGAAAGTCGTGGATTTTTTTAATAAAATTATCTCAATGACAATAGAAATGTTAATGCACTTTTGTTCATATATATGACGAACTTAATATTTAATAACTACTTACTTAACCTTAAATCAGCGGTTTCCAACCTTTTCTTCCTTGCGCCCCCCTTTCGAATGAAAAAAATATTGCGCCCCCCCCCCTTCTTATTTTTCTAACAATTTAATTTAAATATACTTAATATAACTGAAATTATGCCAAATAATACACAGTATTATAAAAATATACATGCAAACATAACTATTTATTATAAGAATTTTTTTGTTTCACATAAGTAAGATCTCACATATGGTGATAAAATTTCTAAAGCATTATTTGTCAAAGTGGGAAAATCGTCCTTTACTGGTAACCAAAACTTAACAACATATTTTCGTCCTAAAACATCTGTTTCAATGTGCTATCACTAAATAAATCAATTATCATTTTCTGCTCTGCTGTTGAATGACCAAAATCATCATGATACTCAATGACAAATGGATTTCTAATCCATTCGTATTTGGACGTAATTAGATAAAATAATTACTATATATATATATACTACTAAATATTACTACGTAGACTAGTCATATGACTGATATAATAATAAGATCTTTACTTACTTCTGTTTCATCAGTAACACAAGTAATTTTAAAAGTGGGAAACATGTTAAAGTTATAAAGTTATTTATTACTAGCTATACACAGTTCTAATTTTTTCATAAAAGCCGTAATCTTGTCTTTCTGAACAAAAGCACGAATTTGAGATCCTTGCATTGATTTATTTAAATCGCTAAGTCTTTGAAAAATATCAACTAAATACGCAAATTTTGCGAGGAACTTTTTGTCGTAAAACAAGATTACTCCGTCTCTTTTGTTATCAGCAAGAAATATAGCAATTTCTTTTTTGAGCTCAAACATTCTTAGAAGTACTTTAAGTATTTTGCTGATTTGTTTTTGACAATTACTCAGCATTTAATAATAATATTTTTGAAACAGCTTTGCGCCCCCCTTGGAACGGTATGGCGCCCCCCCAGGGGGGCGCGCCCCACAGGTTGGAAATCACTGCCTTAAATGTTAACTTGAATCATAAAAATTATGTTATGACCCAAGATTTATATCGATAAAAACTATATATTATAAATATATAATTCAATACTCAAGGATTAACTGATAAATAAGATAAAGGATTAAATTCCACTTACATCGATGTAGATTTATTTGCCTTCTCCGGGGTCAAGATTTAAAAATATTTAATAACTCTAATTAAAAGTGTATCAGACAAGCAAGTTTCCCATTGTTTTTAATGCAACACACCTACCTATTAAAAATCTATTAGCTTCTTTTTTTATAAAAAAAGTAATGTGATCGAATCACAAGCCAACCTGAACTCGAGATAATATGCCAACCTCAATTCAACTCGTAGTTACATTTATAGTATGCCTCGGAGCTTATATTGTGGGTTTTTGTGGGTTATTATATATATTGTTTATATCTGGAACGACATTAGAAATATAGAGACCTCCGGATTTTTTAAATATTTGATGGTAGAAATTCCGAAGTAATTTGAAGTTTAAAATTGGTTATTTATTTAATATTTACATAGATATTAAAAATATTAAATTTTTATGGTCTGATTAACTTGCTTGATTATAACCTGAAATTACATTATATTTTTATTATTTCTGGTTAAATTACAATCTCTTTACTATTATCTTAACACGTTCACTGATAGTTTTGTCAACAGATGGCTATTAGAAGCCAAAGGAAAGTTGTTTTTTCTGGCAGTGATATATTTTGAACAGTATTTTTGACTTAATTATTTCTACGGAAAAGCTTCGATAACCTATTTTCACTTGATACAATATTTGAGATCTATATGATATCACTTCTGCTTGGTATCAAGCTCGTCAAGGTATTCTTACCACGGCCAGCTCTATAGATAATACTAAAAAGCAGAATAAAATTATAATTAGTTTTAGCACTCTTAGAAATTTAGCACAAGTAGAAATAATTGACAGATCTTTCGATTTTACGAGACTTACCCTTAGTTTTTTGGCTCATTTTCAATAAGCAAATTCGGTTCGTCAGTTTTGTATCTGCATTTATAATGCTAAACGGTTGATTTGGCTTCGGTGTTCACACATTAGACTATGTCAACATTTAATTTTATTGTTAGTACTGTGAGCTCATTGTATCTATTATTGGACACAGTTGTAAATTTCATAGTTTTTGGAACGTTAATTAATTATTTTATACCTCTAGGCGTAAAGATATAAGAGAAATAATGAATCGTTATCCATTTTTGTTGCCGAAACGTATTACATGGTATATAAGCAATTCAGGATTTGTTTCTTGACTTTCTAGATTTTAAAACTCTTTTATATTAAGTGTAGATTTTTATAAAGTAGTTGCAAAACCGAATCAATTTAAAAATTTAATCCCCAATTACTCACTGAAAAATAAAATCACTGTTTTATGACAAAACTATAAATGTGATAATATTCTTACACCTTCTAATCAATATCGTACATACTTTCCACATCATATTTTTTATTATACCTGGAATTTACGAATTACTACAGATAACGTTAATTTGAAGCGAGCGAAGTATCTTTATCAAATCGATTGATTGATTAGAGTTAAATACCATATATGATAATGATAAAATAATAACAGTAAATACTTTTAAGTATCTTATTTTTCATATTCATGTAACTAATTGTTAACTAACATTTTCAATTTATTCGGTTTACAAATATATCGACCTTGGTAAACCATTATGCAGGTCATCTGCGTTTTATTAAATATGTTATCAGCCTGTCAATTTAATTGCTGATATCATTATTAAATAATATGAAATATTACCAGATAGAAAAAATAATATAATTAAATTCAACTGTGTGATAAAAAAAAACTATGCAATATATTATATTGAAAATATCAAATAAAAATTCGGAATGCGATTGTTCTTGTTTTAATAATGGGTACTTTTATTGCTCAGAATGTAAGTTATTATAAATATATTTATCTCAATAGTGTAAGGACAGTTAATAATTCAGTCTTATACTATTAATGTATCGAATATTATTCGAAATTATTGACTATGCTCATAAAAACATCTTGTTGATAATTAAGAATAGTATTAAAAATAACTTTATATTATTTTAACCCCTTGCTCAGTTGCACTACTGAACGCACAGGCACAATGATATAGTTTAAGATATATCTATGTTTATCAAAAAATGTTTTAAAAAATTAAGAATTACGCTTCTGATGAACTATTTTATATTACAATAAAAGACTATAATTCGCAATACTTTAACTGATAGTGATAGATCTTGAAGCAAACGCAAACACTTGTCGTCTATGGACGACATCCGTAGCGAAAGGATTAATTAGCTAGCATCCGCTAAGGAATGTTTTTGCAAATGTAATATTTTAGCTATGTAAATAATATAAAAAATGTACTATCCAATACATCTAATTTTATCATCTAAATTAAAATTTAATTCATATAATCATTTAAATTAAAATTAATTTGCAGTCTAATATTTGTATATAATATTTTACATAAAAGTAAATATACTTTGTATTGTAAGTAATTCATATCACATACTAATATTAATAATTTACTTTATTCATAATTTTGTCATAATATTTTTAAGAGCATAACCTATTTCCTTCTTAAACTGAACAATATATTACTAAAATCATAAATTGCAATTGGACACAGCAATGTATATTTTACGACTATAATAATTTCACTCTATCCACATAGATGGGCTAAATTCTAATGGTTTTATATACACAAACAACGGTTTATTCGTGTACTACAATGTTCACAATTCTCATAATGCATACATAATTAGTGACCTCCTCAATTAAAAAGCATAACTCAATGAAATTCCTACAGAAAGCTGTTGAACGGGAAATCTGTACGTTTTGGCTTGTAATACAAGAACCACGTGCTAAGCTTTCAAACATGACAACACGCACATGTTTTGACAGAGCTGTATTGTAAACAATCGATTGAGTATTTCTACAGTAGTAATTCGTGTTCGTGTCAGATGGA